TGATGATGATGATGATGATGATGATGATGATGATGATGATGATGATGTTGTTGATCATGATGATGATGATGATGATGATGATGATGATGATGATGATGATGATGATGATGATGATGATGATGATGATGATGATGATGATGATGATGATGATGATGATGATGATACCTTCCTGGGCCGATTTCGTTTCGATCGATCCGATTTGATACCGATTCTGGCCGGCTCGATCCGACTCGAGTTCGGTCTTCGGTTGATTCCATGCGGCCCGATGCCCGAAGCACGGCGCCGCTGTTCACCCCGGCGCTGCCGATCCGCTTCGATCCCGATCCGTGCCAGGGCGGCCAGCTTCGAGGCTGGCCGCTCCTGCCCTTACCAGCCTGGAACATGTCCCTGTCCCTATGCTGGGCATCTCCTCATCACGATGCCAATCTTAGGGATTCCCTTATTTTTTGAGGGCGCATCCCTAAGATTGTCATCGCCTTTTGGCGTGTCAATCCTAGGGATAGGGATAAGTTCGAGGCTGGTAATGCCCGCCCCTCCCTCACGCCTCCCAGGTCGATGCCTCCCTGTAGGTCCTACGCCCTGCCTCCCCGACGCGTGGGCGCGCTTGGGACAGAGTTCTGCGTGCTCCGGCGCGCGCGCGCGAGCGCCAGGACTCAAGATGCCGGCGGTGCGCGGCCACGTCTTCACCCCGTCACCGCCGGGGTGTATTTGGAGTGCTTCCGGGCTATCTTCTCAAAAACCTTCCATGCGTGTTCGGCGCGCGCGCGCGCGAACGAGGCACCCTTCTCCGTAGTCTCCTCCTCCTCCTCCTCCCTCCTCCTCCTCCTCCTCCTCCTCCTCCTCCTCCCCCTTCTCCTCCTCCTCCTCCTCCTCCTCCTCCTCCTCCTCCTCCTCCTCCTCCTCCTCTTCCTCCTCTCACGCGTAACAGATCCTGTGTACTGACCGCCTCACCGCACCTGGTCCGAGACGGCCCCCCGAGAGGACCCCCGTCGGGCGCCCCCTGCCAGCGCGCTCCCTCAGCTCGAATCTCTTGACAAGCCTTGGGGCCTGCGCCTCCTCTCTCTGCCGTGCTGCGGAAACGCGCGCGGGGCCGCCGAAGCACGGTGCCTCTGTGGCCTGCGTGCGGGGCGCGGTCGCCGAGCCCTGGGCTTCTCTTCCCGTGCGGGGGCCGCGGCGCCCCGCGCGGGAAGGAAGCCTGGCCGTGTTCGACCTTTGGGGGCCTTCGCCGTGCCTCGGGGGCGTCACAAAAGGGCTCGGGACGAAAAGCCTGCCCTGGGGAGGTGGTCCGGACCTCCAGGGCCCACGCGTCGAAAAGTGGAGCAGCCGGATGTCTGGGCACGGGCGTCGAATCCCGGGCTTCTTCCCGCGCGGGGGCGGCGGCGCCCCGCTTGAGGCAGCGTCGCGAATACGATGCTGGGGAGTGTGCGCGGTGCCGTCCCTTCCACCGTGTCGGGCTCTCGTCTCGACTCCCTCCCCTCCCGCCTCCCCTCTTCCTTTTTTCCTTTCCTCCCTCCCTCCAGCTTAGGTTCCCCCTCTTCTCCCGCCTCCCCTCCTCCTTTTCCCCCTGGGGTTCTCCATCTTCTCTCGCCTCCCCCTTCCTTCCTGCCTGCCTCTGCCTGCCGTCTGCCTCCTCCTCGCGCTGCTCCCTGGGTGGCTGCGAGCTGCCGCAACCGTCGCCACTCTCCGTGGGTTCCTGGGAGGCACAGCGGAGTCGGGGAGTAGGCGCACCCAGACGGGACCTCGCTGCTCCCTTGGGTGGCTTCGAGCTGCGCAGCTGTCCCCACTTTCGTGGGCTCCTGGGAGGCACGGCGGAATCGGGGGCCACGCGGATCCAGCCGAGCCGAGACCTCCCGGTTCCCTGGGAGGCTACAAAGTGCGCAGCTGGCAACACTTTCGTAGGCTCGTGCGAGGCACGGCTGAGATGAGGGCAGCGCAGATCGATGTGTTCTTATGTCTGGAGCGTTCATGCAAACGTTCGCCTCGCGTGGAGAAAGAGTTGGGTACGTCTCGGGTTACTTAGTGATTCGTTCGAGCACTTGTTGGTGATGTACTCCTTTGAAGCTGCTTCTCATATTGCGGAAGCCAAGCGGGCAGGCATGCCTGCGCCAATGAATCACACTGCGCGCGGTGCCTGGTGCTCGGGGCATGCCTGCACCCTACTCCGAGCTGCTCAGGCAGCGCGGGGATCCGCCGCCGGGTGTGGGAGTGTTGAGATCGCGTGGGTGGGTGGGTTCGTTGCGTCGGGGGGACTGCAGCGGGCCGTCGGGCGGAGTGGCACGGCGAGGGTGCTCACTGAACAGCCTTGGGCACGTCTTGGCGCTGCCCGTGGTGCCCGCCAAAACGCAGGGGCAGAGCCCGCATCGAGCAGCATCGCGGTGGCGCGGACGGCGGGTGACGCCGCAGCGCTCTCGGCCTCGCGGCACACGATCCTCTACGTTGCGCCCCGTCGCGCGTGTTTTTCCTCGATTCGCAATCCTCGTCGTCGTCGTCTTTGTCGCTTCGTCTGGGTCATACGGTCCAGCGGGGCCAGCAGGATGCAAATGATCATTCCGAAGCTTTCGAGGTACTCTTGAAGAGGGTTCCGCACCGCTCGGGGGCGGCCGCGGCGCCCGATGTGTCCTCCCGCCGGGCTTTTTCCGGCTCGCCGAGGTCCGCCGTTTCTCCGTCCTCCGTCTTGCTCGCACCCTGCTCTTGGCCTACCTGGGGCCTCGAACGTCCCTGCCTCTCCTTTTCCTCCTCCTCCTCCTCCTCCTCCTCCCCCTCCTCCTCCTCGCCCTCGCCCAGCTCTTCTGCCGCCAGGCAGTCGGCGGCAGCGCCAGGCACCAGGCGGGCCGCTGCCAAGCTGGGGGCCAAGTCAAAGAGGAGCCAGTGCCTCTTGTGAGCGGTTCGCGCCTAGGCTTCCATTCCAGGGCAGCAGCAACATCGAGACGGGCGTTGTATCGGCATTTCGGCCTCTGGGGGAGCCGCTTTCGGGTCAGGGGCATCAAGCATCGATCCGCAACGAGGAAGGTGTTCCAGGGATGGTGCCGAGCACCGTGAAGCAAAGGCGCGGCGTCGGAGGAGGAGGAGGAGGAGGAGGAGGAGGAGGAGGAGGAGGAGAAGGAGGAGGAGGAGGAGGAGAAGGAGAATGAGGGTGAGGATGAGGAGGAGGAGGCCTCTTTGGATCCTCTTGGAACACTCTGGGCACCCTGGGAGCCTCCTGAGGGCCTCTTGGAGGCTTCGTGGGGGCCTTCTTGGGCCTCTTGGAGGCCTTTGTGGTCTTCTTGGGGGCCTCTTTGGCCGTCTTAGGCCGTTCCTGGCTCGTCTGACGTCGTCGGAAGCCGTCTTGGGGACCACTGGGCCCTCTCGTGGCCCTCTTGGGGCGCTTCAGGACCGTCTCGGAGGCCATCCTGGGCGTCTCGGAGGCCTCTTGGGCCGCCTTGGGGCCCTCTTGGGGCCGTCTTGAAGGCTTTTGGGCCGTTATGGGGCCATCTTGGAGGCCTCTGGGGCGATCTTAGGGCGATTTTGGGGCCTCTTGGGCTGTCTCGGGCCGTCGTAAAGCCGAAACGAAGCAGATGCCAACGTCCTTCGAGCACCCAAGGGAACTCAGACCCTTCACACGGACCGTGCCCCGCAGGGAACTCCACATGCGGCTCCAGTGGGCAGATTTGTATAACGTTCCTGCGCATAGGTCAGTGCACACCTCATACGGATCGTGCCCCCCCCCCCCCCTTCACAGGGAGCTCCACCTACGGCCCCAGTGGGCGAGCTCGTTCCGTTTCGGCACGCCTCTCACGCGGATCGGGCCCCGCAGGGAGCTCTACCTGCGACCCGAGTGGGCCAGCTCGCGCGCGGGCCTCCGACGTCTTCTGCGCACGGTCGGGCCCTCTGCCAGGCTGACTTTTTTTTCTCTGCTGGCCCTCCGGCGAGGGCTCCAGCAAGCTTGAGAAGCATATGGCCAGGGACGAGGGCTCCAGCAAGCCCGAGGAGACGCCCAAGCACGGCGCCGACTACAACTACCAGGTGTCCGATTTCCAGATGGCGGGGTCCAGGACTGGATACCTCAACTTTATCAACAAGTACCCTTGCACCCGTTCGCCCGGTCCTCAGGGGTTCCCGAACAAGTTCGACTGGATAATCCACAGGAAGTGGGAGCTCGACAACGTCAGCAAGGGCCCTGACCCGTACGCTGTTTTCTCGTCGATGGAGATCCACTCCGTTCCGGCCATGCTCAAGGTTCTGGAGACGAACTGGCCCCACAGCAACAAGAGCCGCGTCGCGTACTTCACGGGAGACATGATGCTGAGCAAGGTGGAGAAGAACTTTGGCAAGGGCACCCTGAGCAGGCTGAGGAAGGCGTTCCCCGGCGGCATCTGGTGGCAGGCGTACGACGTCCGGAAGCCCGGATTCAAGGCTCGGAGCTGCGCCAACACGGGGGCAGGGCCCCCCCCGCCTCTCGCGACGGGGTGGAAGTGCCGAGGCCGCCGCGGGCTGCCCCGGGGGCCTGCCGAGGCCAGCCTGGGCTGCCTCTGGGACCTGTGCGCACTGAGCCCCGAGCCTGGCCAGGCGGTCTTCGGCGGCGAGCGAGGGGGCGAAGTGAGAAGGCGAAGGCCTTCTCAGAAGGCTCGGACGTCCCCCGAAGACGCAGAAGACTGCTCGGAAGGCCGGAGGGCTCCTGAGAAGTCCCGCCGCCTTCCGAGGGAGCCTTCGCCTTCTCCGTTCCCCTCCTCGCTCGCCGCCGCTGTCTACCCGCAGGGGCTCTGCCCGGAGGCCTCCAAACTTGCTGCAGCCTGCGGACGCTGCGCGGCGGCTCTGCTGCTGGCTGCTTGCCGTAGCCTGCCTCATGTATCGTTTATCCGACCCCCATCCCCAGCGGCGTGGCCTGGGCCCCACTGGGCGATTTACCCCCCTGGATGGGGATATAGGCCGTTCCCTTCGGGTTTCGAGGAGTGTATCCCCAACTGGCGTGGTCATTTGGTGGGGGTCTCGAAGGGGATGGAGATGGGGATGGGGATCGGTTAAACGATACCGAATGAATGCGAGGAAGCTGGACACGCAGGACGCGGCCGGCCCGGGCCTGAGCTGGATACTCATGGCCAGAGGTCTGTCCAGCACCCAGCCTCGCTGTGGCCAGGTGCGCCTGGCTTCTGCTCGCGTCTCCCGCGCGTGGCCTCTCCAGGAGTTGTGCACGTGCATCCATCCCTGTGCGCGCGTGTGTGGTGTGTGGTGTGTGTGTGTGTGGTTGCTCGCCGGCCAATTCGCTATCCCTACCTAGCTTCTCGCTGGAGCGGAGTTCGCCGCCTCGTGTGTGTTCCACTTTCCCAGGGTCCACTTCAATCCGGTCGGCTCAATTCGATGGCGGTCTTGGCCAGCTCTATCCGATTGGATTCCGATATTCCGAGGGTCCGATGCGGCGCGATGCTCGCATGGCGCTGTTGTGCATCCCGGCCTTCCGACTCCGAGGCCATGCGGTCCGCTTCGGTACACGTTCCGATCCGAGCCGATTTCCCGATTCGGTGGTGGCTGTTCCTGGCTTCCTGGCGTTTTAGGGAGCGATCTCTGATCCCGCGCTGTGCATGGAGCTCAGTGGGTGACCCTGCGGTCCGACGCGGCTCGTGGAGCCCCACGCAGCAAGATCGGCATCACCAAACTTATGTATTTCATGTGTGTAGGTCTCTTTCTCCGCCTCGTCGCTGTGCGCCAGGCCGTGACCGCCAAAAAGTGTGTGTGTGATTGTATGCGTGTTTGTGTGCGCGCGCGTTCGCTGCTTTACGACCATCTCCGCCCTGTCGCTGCGCGCAGGGGTGCGACGCCAAATTATGTGTTAGTGTGTGTGTGTGTGTGTGTGTTTGTGTGTCGTGCGGCTTGCTCGACTTGCTCCGCCTCGTCGCTGCGCGCGAGGCCGCGACCGCCAAACAAATTTGTGTGTGTGTTTGTTTCCCCCCGCCTGTGTCTGCGTCCGGCTGCCTTCGGGCTGCCTCCCTCCCGCTCGCGCCAGTCTTCAACCTCTCTTTCTCGTGCGCACCGCGTCCCAATTTGCATTTTGTGCGCCCCACTAATGCCACATCGCCGGAGCAGTAGCCTCTGCCCAGCCCCCAGCGGGGAAAAAATATGTGTGTGTGTGTGTGTGTGTGTGTGTGTATGTGTGTGTGTGTGTGTGTGCGTGTGCGTGTGCGTGTGGGTGTGCGTGTGCGTGTGCGTGTGCGTGTGCGTGTGCGTGTGCGTGTGCGTGTGCGTGTGCGTGCGTGTGCGTGCGTGCGCGTGCGTGTGCGCGCGTGCGTGTGCGCGCGCGCGCGCGCGCGTGTGTGTGTGTGTGTGTGTGTGTGTGTGTGTGTGCCGCGCGCCCCTTCCCACTGTTTGACTTATTCCGCCTGTTCGTCGTGCGCGAGGCCGCGACCGCCAAACAAAAATGTTTGTGTGTGTGTGTGTGTGTGTGTGTGTCGCCCCCCCGCTGGCTGCCGCGGCGCTTCCTTCGCGGTGCTGGTTCTCCCTGCCTGGCACCGCCCTGTTGGGCGCGGCCCCCGCCGCCCCACCGCCCGCCGAGCTCTGGCGCGCTCCTTGCACCGCCGCCTCCGCCCGCGGACGCCGCCGCCACCTCCCCTGCTGCCCCGCCGCGCGCCCGCGCCCGGCGCTCCCCCCGCGCCCGCGCCCCGGCCGCTGCCCGCCCTGCTGGCCGCGCCCGGCGCTCCCGCCCGCCCGGCCGCTGCCTCTGCCGCTGCCCCGTGGGGGGCCGGCCGGTCACGTCCTTCCCGTCC